GAAATGGCAGAAAGCATTTCGGCCTACGGAGTGTCTGATGAGAGATACAAATCATGTTTTAAGTGATTACTCGGATTTGTATACTGAAGCATCAAAGTTGCAATCGTATTGTGAGCAGCAGATCTAAAGTTTTATTTTAGGTGCTATGTTTACTGTTTTATAAAAGTAAAGTTATATGGGCTCCATTCTATGCCTATAGACATGGCGGCAACGGTCTTGTTGCTTCCATGCCATATTCGACATGCAGTGCGAGGCGAAACCGGGTTGCCACGACAACGTGACGAATAGTGATGGAGCGCATTCAAAAGGAGGTTGAAGGTTACACCTAATCACGGTAATTTCAAACACTAATGACTGCGACGCCTAGGATTCCCGCACTCCTTTTCTGCTCCGCAGCCTATCCGTATAACAGCATGGCCGATTATATGTCTACTTTGTAGGATTTCTTGCTATCCGATGTTTGGTTGAAGCTCTACTTAAATAGACATCATTCAATCGTCAGGTCTATTGTCATCAATATTGTACCTACTTATACCAAATCAAATCCAACGGGATGTCAAATGTCGTAATGTAGTCTATGCATATCGAGTTGATGGAGGTCAGGTGATGCAACTCATGGGACACTATTATCGGTTTCATGCTATCCGGATGTAAACTGATGTAATGCCACGCCTACGTAGATGGTATTCAGCATATTCTTTGGCAGCATATCTAATAATATGCCTACTCCTCTGCATTTCTTGCTGTCTGTTGGTTGAATGAAGCACTGAGTAAATGGATTTCGGTCCATACGCAGGACCATGTCGTCAATATTATACCTACGTACACGGATTCAAGGCCAACAATATATCGAATAACGTGTTTATATTTATGCATATGGATTTGATGTAGGTCAAGTGATGTAGCTCAAAGCGCATTTATATTGAGTTCATGCTAAACGGGAGTAGACTGATATGGTGCCACATCCACCTGGATGGAGTTCAGCCAATCCGTAGGGCAGCATCCTTAAATAGGCCTCACATTCTCCTGATTTCATGCCATCCGTTGATTAAAATGAGCTCCATTTAAGTAGACATCTGTCTATCCGAAGGTAGGTGTCATCACTATTACCCCTAATTATACGAATAAAGGGACTTGTTTCCTCGATCAATTTGCTGTACACTAAACGAATATAACGTACGAA